GCCCACAGCGCAGTGCTGCTCTCGATGTCAGTGAACACAAGCGTCACGGGGTCTGTGGGCTCCTTCGGGGCGTTGTTGTTGTCACGGGCGTCTCTCCGGCAGCACAGTACGCCTACAATAGTTGCAACTAACAGTACGCCAGCAACAGAGCCCACAATGATGCCCGCTAACTGCTGCGGCGTGAGGCCACCAGATGGTTCCCTGTACACCATGGAAGGCGTCACAGCGGGGAACAGCTCAGGCAACGTGGGGTCGAACACGCGGGCCATCGACCACACAGAAATACGCGTCGCTCCGTAGTTCACAGCACACCCAAGACTACCCAGAGGTGACTGTGCATCGCATTCGTTGCTGTCCCTGAATGGGCCATACTGCATGTCATCCACTGAAATGGCCACATTTTTGTAGAAGACATCAATAAATAATTCACCATTCACCCTCTCCATCTGATCAAGTGCTTTTTGGAGCAGGCGTGTTGTAGTAAAGACCCTCAGCGCCAATGGCGTAACCGTCGCCGGGTCTCTTATAGCAGCGTGGAACTTCTGTACCATCACAGATGCCGTGCTCTCGTCTGCCCAGTGCGGCAGGCTCGTCGCGAACACAAGGCGCTCAGCAGCCGCACTCCCATTGAACGCAGCAACAAACTCATCGTACAGCAACGAGAACTCCGTGAACAGCACAAACACACGCACACCGCTGTGCTTCGCCAGGTGACCCGCGACCACAGCGGCATCGGCAGCAGCGAGGCCCACGACGAACACATCGCCGTACGCCGGCAGATGGCGGACGAGCAAAACGTTAGTAGCCAGCACAAAGGACGACGCAGGCGACCTGCCAAACGTCACAAGCGACCGCCGTAGCACATCAGCAACGGCAGCCCCACCTTTACCGCGAATCACAGCGTGGAATTTGGCGTCAGTAGTGTTGGCGAGGTACTGCGCAAGCACAAAGAGCTCCTGCTCCAGCGTCGGTGACAGGCGGATCACATGCCGGCGAAACTTGCTTGCTCGTGACTGGAGAGGCACCGGGTCAACGAATGTGACTTCTTTCGTGTTTAAGGGCGACTTGGGGAGAACTCCAACCACACAGTCAATATAGCGCGCTTCAAGCTCCTTGGTCAGGGCAGCACTGGCATCCACCTCCGTGGTATTTAGGGTTCTGGCCGACATAAAATGAAAACTTTCCGTGCTTTCCTGACTGCCAATAGCGGCTGTAGTACCGCACGTTATGTCTTCTGTAGCCCTCACAGCGTCCTGCAAGTCAGTCATAACCATCGTAACCATACTAAAGGCTGGCAGCAGAACAAAACTGTCAGAGTAACATTCTTTTGTATCCAAAAGAAGTGTTCTTTCGGCAATCCGCTCTAGAGCATAGTCCTCAATAAATTGCTTGATATGGACTGTCCAGCCACCTTGGTTGCAGCGACAGGTGGCACCGTGTAAGTCAGCGGTATCGCTGCAATCACCACCGAAGTCACCAATCACAAGATCATCGACCAAATATCGGCGCTGGTCGAAGAGAGACTCCTTAAAGATGGTGTTAGTTTCCAACATCTCGGGGAGGCTAACAGCCTGATTGAGCACCTCGCCAGCAATCCACCCAGTGACCATCAACTCGCCGTCGGTGTCGTCCTTGAGAAAGTGGTCCGTGCTATTGTATTCGTCTGTGTGGTCCGACAGATATTGCGTCATCTCTTTCTGAAACCGCTTGATTGACTCATATTCTCTGTCCTTCGCAAGTGGGTTGGTTCCCGTCGTGATCACTTGGCCACGCACAAACGGAACACCACCACCACTCACCGCCTCACGCCACGTACTCAATAGAATGTCCTGTAGTGCAAACGGCCCAAGCAGGTAGGCGTCAGCGGTGCGGGGGTCCGTCAACATTTTTTGGNCACCAAACACAATCACAGCCTGCGGGCGGGTGTCGGCGAACTTCTCCCACTCGGCGTTAAACACAGCATCATCAGCGGACCCAGTGAAGGATCCGTTCAGAGTGAACACACCGCTCAGCTCCGCACTCATTTTCGACATAACACGCTGAGTGATCTGATATTCCGTATCACCGAAGGAAAGACCCTGCAGGTACATGAACCCCAACCGCCGCACAAGCAGAAAAGAGACAGCGTATCGAATAAGAGAAAGCATCTCAGCAACAGGACTCGTCCGCACGAAGTAAAGGCTGGGGTTCCACGTGCGGACAGCAGATGTTATTGTAAAGGGCGCAAACGCCATCATATTGTATTTCTCGAGTGACTTCGTGATAGAC